GCAGCTTCGTCAGTAAAGATCTTACCCAAACTAATACTACTTCTCCTAGATCCACTAATGACCCCCAAAACCATGTTGAGGAGGACCAATGGAAGGTAGTTTCCTTCTCCAAACAGAAAAATCACCGCACAAAAGGCAATTTTCATCCAAAAGTCTCCACAAAAAAAGCTGATTACAAGGAAGGTGGGGGTATCAAGGCAAAAAATTTTTATGCCAACACCGGAAAATATATTAACACTCAAAATTTTTTTTACAAAGAAAAAAACTTCTCCTGCAACAAATCCCAACACTACTACTCGAAACTTTAGTTTGGACACTGTTAACAAGTTTGATATCTTGAACACGTCGGATGACAACCAACTGGCACAAATCAATACTAGAATAAACAATAGTATAAGACAAAAGAGACAAAATAGCCCTTCGACATTCTCTATGCACAACCCGATTTGCATGGAAAAAAATACAAGCCACGTGGCAAATAATAACGAAGGAAACTAGCCTACTAGCCACTTGGCTCCCCAGAATGTCTCCAAATCCTTAATTACCCACAGTTTTAAAGACAAACCACTGGGAAATGACTACATGCAAAACAAGCATTCTCCCCTCAACAAATGGCATCCGAACTTCCTATCCTCCCTAAGGTTAAAATCCATACGCAAACCCATTCAGACTCCATGCAAGTGGATACTATATTTTCCATAGCTATCCCACAAAATACTACTACTCAAGTACCCTGCAAAGCCTTAGATTTTATATACTCCCATAATCCTTACAATGCCTCGTCTACCACTTCTCCTTCAACGAAGAACTACTCTACTCAGATTACCACGCCTAAACCACCCTCAAATGGACAACCTTCCACCACTACCACCTCACAACAACCCTCTCATCTACTCAACCACCCCTCTCCCAATGAATTATCAACCTCAATCATGGTTAGAGAGAGGGATCATGGGCTATGCAGCATCATTCAGCCTGGATATAGAGGGTCAGGAGGTTGTCATTATCCTCCAGAACTCAAACTTCTTAGCACAATTGATCATGGAGGGCATGCAATTAGCGATGAACAACTATGTCAACCAAACCTGGTTGACCGACATATTGAATCCAATAACACCAAATGCATCTCCAGCCCTAATCCAAGCCATGCAGGTTCACTGGGGCCCTCCTGCACGCTTCAACCCAGTCCATGTGGTTCAACCACTACATAATCTACCTTTCTTCGCACCACAAAACCAAGTGAACCCAATCTTCCTAGCCTGACAAGCAGCAGACCAGGCTCAACATGTGATCAACCTTGTGATACCCCAGAACCAAAAGGATCCTGCTCCAATGGATGTCCAACTACCTCCCAATGTACAAAACTTGGGAAATCCACCACCAGAGCAAGGGGAGGCAGTAGCAAGACCTTTAAGGGAATCTCGAATAGAGTTTAAAAGCCTTAGAGAAATAGAAATATTGCTCTACAAGGAGAGGCAGGACAAGAAATCTATCATCAGTTGCCCAACAGCATTATTCAAATGCTCGATGGACATACGACCCCTACTAAACCCTGCAGCAGGAAAATATGCAGTGGTGCTCAACCCCTCTCTGAGGGAAGGCCCACCTTTACGTTTGGAGGAGAATCAGGGGAACCACAACAAACAACCTTTACAAATGACACGTCCAATTAACTTCATAGTTTGGATCGTGAGGGGGGCTAATAATGCCAACTTTCATAGGACCTTCAGGGATATAATGGATACCCATAGACCCTGCTTTGTTGCTCTCTTAGAAACTCGCATGCAAGATCATGTTCCTCTACAACATGATTTCAACTTCTCGGAAATGGTGGAAATACCATCAGATGGCCGCTCAGGGGGGATTGCCATCATGTGGATGCATAGCATGATCACAATAGATGAGGTTGTTAGAGAAGACCAGGAACTGCATGCGATGATTAAGGTACTCCCCAATCAAAACTCTTGGCTTTTAAGCACTATTTATGCAAGTATTGATAGTTATAAATGTAGGATAATGTGGTACAACATTACTAATATATATAAAAAATATAAAGTCCCGTGGCTAGTGACTGGTGACTTTAATGATATTTTCTCTTCTGAGGAAAAATGGGGAGGTCGACCTGTTAATTTTAATAAAACTACCAAGCTTTGGAATCTGGTTAAAAATTGTGATCTTTTTGACCTTGTATTTAAAGGTCCTAAATACACTTGGACAAACTATAGGAAAAGAAGTAAGGGGCTCATTATGGAACGTCTTGATAGATGTTTCGTAAACGAAGGCTGGGTCAATCAATACCCAAATGCCTTAGTGGATCACTTGCCTAGAACTTATAGTGACCATAAACCCTCTCCTAATTAAGCTCAACCCTAAATTTAGTCCTCCAGTAACTAGGCCATTCCGGTTGGAAACTATATGGTGTTCCCATCCCCAATTTCCTAATCTTGTGAAAACTTGTTGGAACAATAGGTCCTTTGATGAGGCTCTTCTTCTTTCTAAGCATGAAGGCACTAAGTGGAATAAAGAGGCTTTCAGAAATATTTTCAAAAAAAAAAGAGAACCTTTCTATCTAGAATAAATGGTATTCAAAATTCCCAAAACTATCCTAGAAATTCTTTTCTCCTAGATCTTGAAAGCCAGCTTATAAAAGATTATAACGATGTCCTTAGAATGGAAGAGAATTTTTGGAAACTTAGATCGAGAGTTAATTGGCTTAATAACGGTGAGGCGAACACTAAATTCTTCCACATCTCTACCCTTATCCGTAGAAGAAACAATAAAATTTCTCATTTCAAAAATGAGGAAGGCAACTGGATTGATGATCCTTTAGAAATTTCAAACCACACTCTCGATTATTTTATGTACATATTTACCACGACACTCACCACCTCAAATAGGGCTGATATTATAAACTCTCCAAAATGCTTTGACAATTTGGACTTAAACTTCCTAGATGCTCCTGTCACTAGCCAAGAAATCTCTAATGCTATTTTCTCCTTTAAACCAATGAAAGCTCCTGGTCTGGATGACATCCATCTTTTTTTCTATCAAAATTTTTGGCCAGCTGTTGGTAGTTCAGTTATTACTTATTTCAAACTAAAATAATTCCGGAACCTCTTAACTACACCCATCTCTGCCTAATTCCCAAAGTGCCTAATGCTAATCTTCTAAAAAACTTTCGTCCAATTAGCCTTTGTAATATTATCTACAAAGTAGTCACAAAGATTATTGCTAACAGAATAAAACCCCTCTTACCTAAGATTATTAGTCCTTTTCAATCTAGCTTTATTAAGAATAGAAAGGCTTGCGATAATAGTATTATCATCCAGGAGGTTCTCAACAAATTCAAAAATATTTAAGGCTCTAGGTCTAATATGATTATAAAACTAGACTTAGAAAAAACCTTCGATTACCTGGAATGGTCCTTTATTTATAGGACTCTTGTTTACTTCAATTTCCTCCCCAAAATCACCAATCTTATAATGAGATGTATCACCACTAGTAACATTGCTATTCTAGTCAATGACACTCGCACTAACTATTTTAAGCCTACTAGAGGTATTCGTCAAGGAGATCCTCTTTCACCCTACATTTTGTTCTCTGTATCGAAATGCTCTCACGCTGCATAAATCACCAAGTCGATTGTGCAATTTGGGACCCCATTAAACTTAGTCCAAAAAGACCGGAATTATCCCATATTTTTTTCGCAGACGACCTTACATTGATGGCCAAAGCAAATAACAAAACCTGTGAGGCCATATCTACTACCTTCTCTATGTTTTGCAATTTATCAGGTCAAAAAATAAATTACCAAAAATCAAAAATCATTTTTTCTACTAATTGTCCCCAACCCCTACAGGATAAAATCGCCAATTTTCTAAATATTTCTATTAGCAAACAATTTGGCAAGTACCTGAGCTTCCCTATAACCAATAAATCTCCCAATCATAAGGATTTCCTTTTCATTCTAGACAATATGAGATCAAAGCTTGCTAACTGGAAATTAAATTTCCTTAACCTAGCTGACAGGGCTACACTAATACAATCAACTCTTAGTAACATCCCTAACCATGTGATGCAATACTTCCATTTACCTAAATATACCCTTAAGCTCATTGATCGTATCCAAAGGAATTTCCTTTGGGGTTCTACGTTTGAAAAACAACATCTCCATTTAATCAATTGGGATATAGTTACTAATCCTAAGGAATTAGGGGGAATTGGCTTAGTCAAATCCAATATAAAAAACCAAGCCCTTCTTGCAAATCTCACATGACGTCTTTACAATAATACCATGACCCCTTGGGCTAAGACTCTTATTAACCAATACTCTAATAAAGCCTCACCAAGGAACACTTTTTTATATGGAAAAATATTGTGAATGGTTGGAATCTTTGTAATAAATGTTTTGCTTGGAATATTGAAAATGGAGATAGTGTTAGATTGTGGGATAATAGCTGGATTCCCAATCTTCCTCCTCTTAAAACTCTAATCCATGGTCCCCTTAACGCCAATGAGGATCACATGCTAGTTAGGAACATTCTTGTTAATCAAGAATGGAATCTTGACAAACTCTCCTTTTCCATCCCTAGTGACATACAAAATGCCATTCAAAGCATCTATATAAGCTCCTCAACCCTTGCTAAAGATAAGGCCTACTGAAAACCCACCAATAATGGTATCTTTAATCTAAAATCTGCTATAATAATTCTAACTCCTCCTAAAGACCCACCCATGAATACCTCATGGATTTGGAATCTCAAAATTCCTAGGAAGATTTGCTTCTTTCTTTGGCTTTGCTACCATAGAAAACTTCCAACTAGAACTTACCTCCTACACATAGATCTTAATATAGATGATATATGTCCGGCTTGTAGAAGAAATAAAGAAGATATTTATCACATCTTCCTAACGTGTCCCATAGCTAAAAAATTCTGGGATGACTTAGGCACCTCTCCCCATCCGCAACAGATATTCACTGGTTGGATTCCGTTAGACTCATGAATCCCTCAATATCGTTCAAAGCCCTAAAGTGGGAAGATATCTATCCCTCCTGCCTTTGGCATATTTGGCTTAACCGCAATAACAACAACATTAACAATATTTCCAATGGAGTCTCAATCATCACGACTCTTAACAAAGCCGCTGAATTCAAGTACCTCACTGGTTACAATCATCCACCCTTAAATATCATTACTATCCCTATTAGATGGCAAAATCCCTCTAGGGATTCTTTTAAGCTTAACTGCGACAGTGCTTATACCAATAATACCAACACTGGAGGTTTGGGAGGAGTCATACGAAACAACAATGGCAAATGGATAGTGGGGTACCAAAAACTGACTAATGTCATTAGCAACACACATGCTGAACTCCTTGCACTAGAAACAGGTCTAAGAGTTGCAGTCCAATTCAAGCTTCATCCAATCGAAATAGAAACGGATTCCACAAAGGTAATATCTCTTTTTGACAAAGATCACCAAATTTATGATCATCTTATCTCCTCATGCAGGTGGTTAATGACACAATTGGGGACACCATTGCTCAGATATAGCTTCCGAGAAGCAAATTCAGTAGCTCATCTTTTGGCTAAGGATAGTAAGAAATTAAAGTCCATAAATAAAACAATCATCCATCATACACCTACCCAGCCGGTGGAAGTAGCTTTGAAGGATGATGCTGTTGGAAGACAGTACTTTAGGTTAATATCGGAAGAAGTTTGTAATAGATTGGCTAGTATGGGGAACATTAATGCTGTTCAAAACTCTAGTACTTTTGTAAAATCTCTCAGTTTCGATCCCAATGGGATAGCTGGGAGAGTCCTATGTAATGTTACTTAGTTTTTAATAAAGTATTCGTATTTACAACAAAAAAAAAAATACAGAAAGAATATATATTTTATTTAAATGTGACTTTTTTTTACATTTATATTATTTTTTGCTCGTAATCAACTACATTTATATAAAATGGGATGAAGGCAGTATGGATGGGTAAAATTGTGTGGGGTAGCCACTTTTTAAAGTGGTATTTACTTTTTATCCAGCATTTTTAATGCCGAACAAAAGTAGCCACTAGTCTATTAAAATTAATATGAAAAGACAGTGTTACCCTTTCTTTCCCAGATGGAAATACGCCATTTTCAGATTCTGTACAACAGAGCAGCAACCGAAGTTCGTTGTATTCGCAGCTGCTTCAACTTCTATGGATATCTGTGCAGGCACTCGTTGTGTGTACTGAACTTCTATGGTGTGGAAGAGATCCCTTCAAAATACATTTTATAAAAAGGATTACAAGCAATTATGTGCATCAGATTTTGAATCTAGTTATACTGAGTCTACTGAACACATTCAACGGTTTAGCCAGTTGTATAGAAGTGCATTACAAGTTGTGGAGGATGGGGTGATTTCCCTAGATCATTATAAAGTAGCTCTAAATGCATTTGAAGTGTCTCTGACCAGAGTTCACCACATTGAAGAAAAACTAAATAAAAATTCTTGGTAATTAACGTATCTACTTAATAAAATTCTTTGTAATTATTTTGTATTTTGTCCTTAATTTAGAGTTACAGTCACATAAATTAAGGATTGGTAGTCCTGAACTTCGAGTTTCAAGTTCAAAAGTTAAGGACACTTGGTCCTGAACTTAGAGTTACAAGTTCAAAAGTTAAGGACATTTGGTCCTGAACTTTGACTAACAAGCTCAAAAGTTAAGGACAATAAGTCCTGAACTTATAGTTACAAGTTCAAAAGTTAAGGACAATAGGTCCTGAAGTCCTGAACTTAGACTAGCAAACTCAAAAGTTAAGGACAATAGGTCTTGAACTTAGGCTAAGAAACCCAAAAGTTAAGGACAATAGGTCCTGAACTTAGATTAATAAGCTCAAAAGTTAAGGACAATAGATCTTGAACTTAGACTAACAAGCTCAAAAGTTAAGGACACTTGATCCTGAACTTACAGTTACAAGTTCAAAAGTTAAGGACACTTGGTCCTGAACTTAGACTAACAAGCTCAAAAGTTAAGGACAATAGGTCCTGAACTTAGACTTACAAGTTCGAAAGTTAAGGACAAGTAGTCCTTAACTTAGAGTTACAAGCACATAAATTAAGGATAGGTGGTCCTGAACTTCGAGTTCCAAGTTCAAAAGTTAAGGACATGTAGTCTTGAAGTCCTGAACTTAGAGTTGCAAGTTCAAAAGTTAAGGACATGTCGTCCTAAAGTCCTAAACTTAGAGTTGCAAGTTCAAAAATAACGGACACTTGGTCCTGAACTTTATGAGCAGAAGGGTGTTTTCGTCCAGGCAGATAAAATTTATTAAAGTAGTGGCTAAAAACTAAAGACATTTTAAACAGTGGCTTAAAAGTAAATACATGTGTTATTAGTGGTTAACCATGCACTTCCCCTTATGGATGGAGTAGGTAGAAGCTGGGGGATTTGTCAAATCAATGCAAGTCATTTTGGGCACAACTGATTATTTGGACTTATGCAGGTCATTTTCTCTTTTGTTGTTTATTTACTTAATAGTACCTTTTTCTACCGAAAGGGGGCCACGTAAGCAGGGAGAAGTGCACGGTTAGCACATGTATTTACTTTTAAGCCACTGTTTAAAATATCTTTAGTCTTTAGCCACTACTTTAATAAACTTTACCTGCCCGGACGAAAACACCCTTCTGCTTATAAAGTTCAGGATCAAGTGTCCTTAACTTTTAAACTTGTAACTCTAAGTTCAGGACTTCAGGACTACATGTCCTTAATTTTTGAACTTGTAACTCTAAGTTCAGGACTTCAGGACTACATGTCCTTAACTTTTGAACTTGGAACTCGAAGTTCAGGACCACATGTCCTTAATTTCTGTACTTGTAACTCTAAGTTAAGGACTACTTGTCCTTAACTTCTGAACTTGTTAGTCTAAGTTCAGGACCTATTGTCCTTAACATTTGAGCTTGTTAGTCTAAGTTCTGGACCAAGTGTCCTTAACTTTTGAACTTGTAACTGTAAGTTTAGGACTAAGTATACTTAACTTTTGAGCTTGTTAGTTTAAGTTCAAGACATATTATCCTTAACTTTTGAGTTTGTTAGTCTAAGTTAAGGACCAATTGTCCTTAACTTTTGGGCTTCTTAGCCTAAGTTCAGGACCTATTGTCCTTAATTTTTGAGTTTGTTAGTCTAAGTTCAGGACTTCAGGACCTATTGTCCTTAACTTTTGAACTTATAACTGTAAGTTCAGGACTTATTGTCCTTAACTTTTGAGCTTGTTAGTCAAAGTTCAGGACCAAATGTCCTTAACTTTTGAACTTGTAACTCTAAGTTCAGGACCAAGTGTCCTTAACTTTTGAACTTGAAACTCGAAGTTCAGGACCAAGTGTCCTTAACTTTTGAACTCGTAATAGGTCCATAGTCGGACAGATAGAGTAGGCACTGAAAGATCCTTATGTTCATGACAAATCTAGTAATTTGTGTTCCTTATTGCTCATGCGTAACCCTTTGCATCAGGCAGGTCCATTGCGGCTTGTGAGGTGCTAGACAATGCTGGTTACAACAACATTTCTGGGTTCAAGGTGGTTTAGAAGCTGCTGAAGAAGAGGTTTCAAATTAATCTTACTTATGTCTTTTTTGCTTTAATATATATTCATCTTTCCAGAATACAAGTTCATATATTTAAATACAATTTGGATCAGGATCTTGAATGAGAAGGTCCACAACTATTTAAGTTCGCAGGAATTGGGGGGCTTTCAGAATTCCTCGGGTAATTATTTCATGCTTGTGCCTAACACATGAAAGAGATAGAAGAAAGGGTAATATAGTCTTTTCATATTAATTTTAATAAATTAGTGGCTACTATTGCTAAGCATTAAAAATGTTGGATAAAAAGTAAATACCACTTTAAAAAGTGGCTACCCACACAACTTTTACACGTAAGTATCGTCTGTTATTTACTCTTTGGGAATGGATAAGATTTCGGACCATGTGTTCGCTCAATGTTGTGCCACCAATGTGGATATCATTACAATAAGTCATTAGGTATTACGGCATGTAATAGACTCAGGTTGTTAGGAAACTAGAATATCTCTGATGATGATCCACCAATGTGTGGTGAATTTTCAAGTACTTGTATTAACCCCAATAATTTCTAGTTTTTATATATAATATTTCGGTATTAACAAAAAAAAAAGATGTTGTGCCACCCAATATAAAATAAGTATTGATTTATGGTAGGAGATCAGTTTAAGAATTTCGCTTTATTAGACAATTCATATTTGATTTTAATTTTATGGTGCGATAGCATTTTTTCAACCAACTGTATACAGAAGCAGAGTTAGTCTATTAGGCATGGGTTCAGTCGAAAAATTTATTAAATATGTATAAATATTTAATTGCAAATTTAGTAAAGAAGACGAGCTATGAATTTGTGACAAATTTAGAAACACATAATTTCAAATTCTGACCCGCTTCTGATTGTATATAATAGGAAGTTCTTATCCTCCATGGCATAGTCAAGTTCTGATGCATGCATAAGCAACAATCGAACTTGACAAAGTCAAAAGGACCCCTGGATAAAATCTCCTATATGTGTGAGGTCACACTTGGATTTGGACGGTGATAAAACCTATTCGCATCGATGCATGTGTTATCAACTTGACAAAGTTAAATTGTTTGGTTTGATATAAATACCGATTACAAATAAATATTTACCGTTTGAGCGAATAAGTTATTTTTGGTTTGGTCGCAGTGAGGGAAACTCACTAGGCTGGGACAATAAACTATGGTTCGACAATAATTCTACTGAAGTTAGAAGGGAAGAAGGTTACAAAATTTGATTCTCAAAGTATTCTTTTAGTTGCGCAAATGTTGAAATTAAAATAAGGTAAGATCAAAATCGTGTGAACTAACAGTTCTAGTTAGCATTCCTTCAAATGCGCTTTAATTTATTCTTATTAATTCTTCCCACAAAATTTTCAAGTTGTACCAAAAAGCAACCTGTTTTCCCATTTAGCTGCATAGATAAAAAGCATGGCCTAGGTCTGTGAAATGGATCGGAGAAGAAAAAGAAAGAAACAAGAAATGGCAGAATATTGTGTAACAGGGGGTACAGGTTTCATTGCGGCTTGCCTTATTAAGGCCCTACTACATAAAGGTCACATCGTAAGAACCACTGTTCGTGATCCAGGTTTGTAATAATCGTTTCTTTCCTCCTTCCAAATATGAATATTATTTATTGAAAGTGTTTTTTGTAATTAGCAGATAATGTAGAGAAAGTGGGGTTCTTGTGGGAGCTAGAGGGTGCTAAAGAGAGGCTCAAGATAATGAAAGCTGATCTTCTAGTTGAAGGTAGCTTTGACGATGCTATTCAGGGAGTTGACGGAGTCTTTCATACTGCTTCACCCGTATCTGTTCCTTACGATGACAATGTTGAGGCAAGTTTTACCTTCACCTTCATCTTCTTTTTTTGTTAGATTGTCCCGCATCAGTTAATTAAAGGATTAGGTCGTTGTTTCCTTATATGATTTTTAGACAATTCCCACTTCTATGTCGGGTTGAGTTAGAGCATTCGTTTTCTAATTATCACAGTATCAGAGCCAGCCCTAATCGTATTCTTGATTTCCTCATTTTTGGACTGCCCCTCATGTTGTGTTATACACACTCCATTTATTATAAGAGTGGATATAGTGTAGAGCTTATGGGTTCATCCGAAGAAATTCACTAAATGATCCAGTATACATATTATACTCGAACCCAGCAATCAAATGGCTGTGTTAGAATTCTGAACTCAAACCTGTAATATGTTTCTTGATCCGCCTTTTGAGTTATAGAGTTGTTAAGTTATCTCATATTAGTCGAGAGGATGAACTATTGTCTCCTTATATGATCTTGGGAAACTATCACCACAAGAGCAGCTCGAATTCGCCCAAGGTCTATTTTCTTATCAATTTTCTAACACATACACACCACACCTCTTATATTGTTCATTTTCTTGAGTAGTGAGATTACTCTCCTCAAACATTAATCAATCAACTTAACAAACTGGACCTACATTGTACTTGCAGAAAACACTGATTGATCCAAGCGTAAAGGGTACTTTGAATGTCCTGAATTCATGCAAAAAAGCAAGCAAGTTGAAGAGGCTTGTGTTGACATCATCTTGCTCTGCAATCAGATACAGAGATGATGCCCAACAAGTTTCCCCTCTCAATGAATCCCACTGGAGTGACCTTCAATATTGCCAAAGATACAATGTATGTATGGACTTCAAATTTTTTTACTTGCTACATAGAATAGAGAAACATGAAAAATATTGCTTAATTGATATTTAACTTTGTTTTGTTTGACTGCAGCTATGGTATCCTTATGCTAAGGCTATAGCAGAAAAAGAAGCGTGGAGAGTAGCCAAGGAATGTGGTATCGATTTGGTGGTGGTAAATCCATCCTTCGTTGTGGGTCCTTTGCTTGCTCCTCAGCCCACCAGTACATTGCTTATCATATTGGCCATTGTTAAAGGTTGTACCTTTTGACAATACCACACAATTGAGGTCCACTATTTACATAGCATTATTATACGAAATGAAAATAAAACGTACTAGAAATTCAATATATTTTCCACTAGCATATAACTCTCTGTCAGGGCTAAAAGACTCCTAGAAAATATAGGACCTAAATTAAACGTACTAATAAAAATATACTACAAGTTCACTATATTTTTTGTTGACATATAAATATGCCGACCAAAGACTCCTAAAAAACATAGGATCTAATATAAACACGACTAAAAATATTCCCAACTTAATAATATTGCCCATGGTGAAAAGAAAAAAGATATAGTCTATACAAATCTTATTCTTCCATTTTATTTTCCGCCTAGATCTGCATTAATTCCAAGAGATTATAAGTTTTTTGATACAATTTCATTTCACTTCATTTTAGTTTTACCTTGTTTCCTTTCCAAGATGGTGCTTTATGAAAGGCATAACAGTTTTCTTGTTTGTATTTTTTTCTCCCTCTGGACTAGGTGTGCTTGGAGAGTATCCCAACAAAAGGTTGGGATTTGTTCATATTGAGGATGTAGTGGCAGCTCATATTTTAGTAATGGAGGAACAAAAAGCTTCAGGTAGATACATATGTTCAAACTCAGTGCAACACATGTCACAGATCATTGACATGTTAAGGACCAAGTATCCATCTTATCCTTTTGAGAATAAGTAAGCAGATCAACTGAAGTTTCGAACCCCTTTCTTTTTGGATTTAGTTTATATATACTGACAGTGTAACGGTCAGTGAATTTTTACTTGTGATAGCAGATTAGTTACTACTTTTATCAAATACTAATTAATGTTTATCAAGAAATTTACCTATTTTTACTTAATAAATGACCTGATTGTGTAAATAATTTTTATACCGTAAACTCTCCTTTGTTTTTCCTTTTTAGGTGTAGCAACCAAGAAGGAGAAGACATGCCACATAGCATGGACACCAGCAAGATAACTGAATTGGGGCTCCCTCCTCTAAAGACTCTCACTCGAATGTTTGATGATTGCATTAAGAGTTTCCAAGAAAAGGGATTCCTATGAGATATACCTAAGTTGTCACCTCTATATGTGACCTACAAGTTCTTTGTGCTTGGACAAAAGGGTTTAAGTAAAAATTGAAGTGTTCCACTCCTTTACAAGAAATAGAAGTGTTACTAATATCCTTTTTACTGTATTGGGAAAAACTTGACATTAGCTTATTTAAGAAGGTGAAGTTAAGAAATTCAATCTCAAGGCTTAAATAAAATGGCTTATTCAAGAATGTCACTCAGTGGGGGTGATGCTTCTAAGTGAAATGTGTTGCTACCAATTTGCATTAGCCCTAGATATGAAAAAGTAGGGTAAGGCCACAAAGCATTGGTTGGAGTATTGTCAATATTGTCGAGAAAAATAAATATCGAACGTAACTCAATCCCAAAGAGTTCAGGACCGGATATCTAGTGCGTAGATAAAATAACATGAGAACTCATTATTAGTAAACCAAAAATAGGAATAGTCTGATCTAATATCATGTCAAGAAAGTAGTTCTTTGACCTATCTCAATCACAAAAATTAGCGTATGGAATGAAGATTGTCAAAAACCATACAAAGAACCAACTATTTTGTCAATCTATCCGAGACACTTAAACAAATATCATACGAACATGACAATAAATATAGTGGCAACATGAGTATAATCATAGAAACTTGTTGTATCTCTATTCATGAATACAAGAGATTTATACATTTACACTAGACTCTATCAAAGGAAACAAAATCAAACAGAATAAAGGAAAATATCCTAAGGATCAACTCCTATAATATAATTAAGTCACCTATCCATGGAAAGCAATCTATTTACATCTCACTAATTATTCTGTAACACTCCCCCTCAAGCTTGAGCATAGATACTAAGCATGCCCAGCTTATTACAGAGGTAATCAACTCGAGTTCCATGCAACGCCTTTGTGAACAAATCAGCTAGTTGCGCTCCTATCTTCACTTAACTAATGGAAATCAAGATTTCGTGAATCTTCTCACGAATAAAAATGACATTAAACATGAAT